GTTACCTATAGTTACACATAGTTATAACTTAGATATAAAAACTAACTATATGAATCCTTGAAAAAGATAACTAGTTACCTATAGTTACACATAGTTATAACTAAAAATTAAAACTAACTTATACATAAGTTATATGTAATACTTATAAATTAGTTACAACTTATTTTTTCTATGCTAACTAAGTTGCAACTAGCATAACATAACTAAAACAACCCACGCAGTAGGCGGTTCAGGGCTGTGCACAGCATCCGGATGACCCCGCCGGCGCCTGGCGGCAAAACAAGTGGCTGGTGAGCGTGAGCTGATGCTCCACTAGCAGGTCTTCAAAACTTGTCTTCTTTTGTTTGTTGACATTGATAGGGGCACTCAGTCGATGTTGGCCCAATGGGGCATCAAAACAACCCAGACGGTTCTTTTTTTGGGGGGGTTGATACTTCAGGAAACTCGCATTGATGCCGTCACCGGCTGTCAAATCAGTGCCGCGGATATGTTTGTGAGGCAACTGCGACCTTGAGGAGCCAGCAACCAAGGCAGGTGATTCTGGCCTTGTCGGGGGTCAAAGTTGGACGACTTTAGCCACTCCTTTTGGTGGTGCAGCCTTTCATTATATTAGGTTATTCTACTGTCTTACACAAAATAGATATTAATAGGAAGTGTGCCTATTATATAAGTTGTTATTTGAACCCGGAATGGGAGGTAGGAACCTGGTGAATTCCCGCAATTTGTTCAGTATTCGAGAAAATTCAAAACTGGGTAATTATGGTTTGACGGCTGTGATGCAGGTGCCTGATGATGGCGGCTACATGCCACATGCCAGCTACCAAGGCCCACTGGCGCTTTTGGCGTGACAGGTCGTTTGAAAATCGGGGGTGATTGGTTCCAGGGCGGCTTGATTTGTTGGAAGTTGGTTACCCCAGTTGATGTGTCCAAAACCAAGAAAGGCACTGCCAGGCCCCTTCTCTTTGTTGCAGGACGCGGGATGTGGTACTCCTACCAGACCTGTGGCGGCAAGGACTACTGGATGACTGCTGAGAAGAAGAAGGAACTGCAGGTGTCTATATGTGAACAAAGACTGAAAGTGATTGGTGACTGTTAATCAATATCCAGATGGATACCTTCCAACAGCCTGGACCTGAGTTTCTTAGTCTTGCAGGGGGTGTATATGGGGCAGGCGAGGGTAGGCATATGTTCAAGTTCCAGCATGATTCACACTCGATGGAGCTCCTCAACTCGTTTGATATTGACATTGTGGTATAGAGGCGTCCTTTCAATCTCCTTAGGCGTCTATTGATATCAATTCCTGTTATCCCGTTTTCAGGCGACATTGGGGGGATCGGGCCAGTTCGGGAAACACCTCAGACTTCTTATACAGAGTGGACGACTAATAGCTTCTCATATGGATTTCCGGGAGGCGTTTGGCATCGAAATTTTTTCGTTGCCTATCAGGCTGTGGACAAGAAGTGCAACAAGACCATGGATGAGAAGCCGCTGGGGCATGAAAGGGTCCGGAGGGGATGAGACCGAGCGGACGAACATCGAAGTGTCAGGACATGTCATGTTGGACGAGCACAACCACAACGGCGGTAGCGGTGTGAGCGTTCCCTTTGCCAGCATCCCCTACTTTCTCATGACAGTAGTGATATCAAGCGGCAGGCGGGGAGTATGGTACCTGATCATTTTCGCTGCATGCAAGAAACAACCTTGTCTCGACCAGTTAAACTTAAACCAAAAGAAAACAATTGTTTCCACGAAGTCGACAAAACGCGGTTGAATAATCGGCAACGTCATGCAACGTCTCAAATCACGACCTCGACCGAATCGAGTGACTCTGACCTTCAATGACCGTGACCAATTCCAACCTTCACCATGGCAATGCGCTCATCACGTTCTTTGCAAAGATCCCTTATGTCACAGAACCCCTTTCCATCCTTATCCCTCTTCCCATCCAAAACTCCGAGGAAGTGGGGTGATGAGAAGTGCCGCTGCCTCGGCTACGACGGCGCACCGGGCACAACCAATGTCACGATCAATGGCTCGGAGCCGCGCGAGTTGCCGGATGCAGCTGCGTTGTGTCGATCAGCCTCGACCTCCGGCGATGTCCGATTCATGTCGTTTGTAACTATTTCTTTTCGGAGGCAAAATTGAGATAGATAAGGTTTCGGGGGAGTTTTTGCTCATCAACCAACTTGATAATTCTTTTGCTCTCAAGATGTTTTGTTGTTAAAGTGAGCAGTTGTAAAGATATTGTTGAGATTTGTTCCGTTTGCTGCTTGGGTTTAGATTAGGGCTGTAAACTCTGGATTGTAATCCTCCATAATCCTCCCCAAGATCCGCCTCACGCATATGCCGCTTTACATCGTTTTACGTTTGGCATCCAATCCGTCGGGTTGCAAAACCTGTGGGATGCATATAATCAGCATGTCTTCCGAGCGCTGATGAGCGCCTTTCAAGCAGCAATTGTGTCATGCATTTGTGTCAGAAAAATGGTTTGCCATGAATGTGCCATGCTCGTGCTCCAGCACTGGTTCAGAAGACTTGGTGTGCGAAAGCATTCGTTCATCAAACGTGGCGGAAGTGTTAAATTGCATGGGCTAGCATGATGTCGTTGTGCTTGATGTGCCGAACCAGCTTTTCAAACAAATCCGCGCCAACCTCCATCGCCTTCATTCCAGGAGATCCCCTTCCCGACCGAGACGGGTGCCAGCTGCGAGGCTTGGGATGCACAGCGCCATCCGGAGCCTCAGCTGCACTCAGCTGAGTCAATCAGTAGCAAGAAGCTAGTACTTGTAGTAATAAGGGCATCGCTACTAGGACGCTACTAGGGGCTCCTGGCCTGACTACTAGTAACAACAAGCTACGAGTAGCAAGAAGCTACTAGTAACACGTTTGCATCTCGTAGGGTCCTGGCAGGTCCTGGCGGGTCCTGGTCCTGTTAGGTCTGATTGGTGGAGATTGGGTGTGGCCCGGTGTGAGAAAAGTAGACACAGCTTGGGGATGCTTGGGGTGTTGTTATTCTTTATTGTTGGAGACATTGTTTGTGTGATTGTTATGTGTTTAAACAAGTGCGTGTTTGATCGTGTTTGTGTGTTTGGGATTGTTTCTTGTTCGTTGGACTGGGTTTGAAGCAGCATGTTTGATGCTGAACATGGACGAGTTTGGTTGATTCCTTCAATGAGGCCTTTCCTCTAAAGGTCAAGTGATGTAAAGTGCTTGGGAAAAAAACAGTTTGGTTTAATACCATTCTAGCTTCCTTTGTAGATGAGCAAGACCCGTTGATTGGGCCAATGTTTATCGAGACAAAAGGCTAATGTACGAGGGTTCGACTTGTGTTTCACTCAAGGCCTGCAAGGGCTCCAAGCCAGCAGCCTGGTGTTCGAAGGCGTGTCTGAGAGTGGGTCAGATTGGTGGATGACCATAGGTATGGCCCATTCCCACTGTAGACCAGTTTAGCAAAGCCAAATCACTAGTTGTGAATCACCGCATGTGTTTGCTTTCTGATGTCTGATTCAGTAAAAGAATGCCCTACCAGTGGTACATCTCTACAGATACATTCCATCAGGCTTGAGTATCTTGTGGATGGGAAAGATGACAGTTTCTCTTCACGTGGACATGTTGTTCCTCTGTGCCCACCATGAAAAGAGATGGCAGGCCTCATAATGGTTGTTTCATCCAGCTAGGTCGAATCCTTTTCTTGCGGCAAAGTCAATATATATATATATAAAGATCTGTCGCAGAAGGAAGCCAACCTGACCAACAACATCAAGAGTTGTTCTGTTGCCCTTTGTATTGCCGCTCAGCACCTGTGTGGGGCTGCACCGACAGGCCTGGTGCTATGTGGACCCTTGCGAATGTCAGTTGGCGGTGCCTCCCAAGACGTCCTCCTACTTGCCCTCGGGCAAAGCCAACGGGCGCCTCAGCACACTCGCGGAACAGAAATAAGTAGGTGATATGTTGTGATATACTGTATGTGGGAGTTCAGTTTTGATCCAACCATATCTCACATCAACACAGCTTCAGCAGTGTTTGAGCAACCAATTTGTAGACATAGGAAGCCGGTCTACTTCTCCTACGCGGCCTGTGGAATGGACGATGAGTACACCAAAGGGAATGATGAGGCCTGCGTGAATCAGAAGGTGCTTGGGTCGCAACTGAGCATGTTCTCTCTGACCCCGAAACCAATTTCTAGTAAGAGGTATGTTTGTGGAAGCACACAAATCCAAAGTAACAGGGAAGGTGTTGTGCTGCAGCTTTAGAGCTACTAACTTCCTGGAATAGATGCATGACATGTTTCCATGATCAATGAAAGTAGATAAGTAGATCCTGTCCCAAACTTCAGATTCTTGTACATTGCTGCTATGCAAGGAACGCTAACCCCGATTTCAATAAAAGTTGCTTTGATGTCGGTATCAACATTCAATACCATGATAGACAGACTAATGAACTGAAAGTCGCGAGTACATCTCGGCCAAGGCTGAAGCCAACTGCACCAAGCTAGAGAAGTGTGCCTGGACTGGTGAGCAATGTCTCGGCAAGGAGTGCTGTTAAAATTCCAGCAGACATGATGGCACCTTGAAAGATAAGACAACAAACTCTCGCACAGCTATATACCCGCTTTCCTGCCTGTTTTGTTCCAGGAGCTGGTGCAGGTTTGCAGTGGTGCTGCAGCACAGACAATCTTCGCCGGTCTGGTGGCCATGCTGACGCTCTTTGGAGCGGCCTGAGTGGCCTAGGCGGATGGACGCGTGCATAACCGTGCTGGGCGCCATGTGGAACCCCGAGGAGAAAAAGTGTGGCGGATTGCAGTGGCTGGTGTAGAAGTTGCAAGTTGGTCGTTCCCCTTCCCATTTGCGTGATTCTCTCCCAAATCTCCAACACATGCTGTCACATGCTTATCAAATCCTCGGAAAAGATGGTATCATCATGTCATTGTCAACCTCAAGAGCTTCGACTTTCACTGCTACGACCTTAGTTAGGCGTGCTTGGCTATGATTTGGGCCGAGGCTTTAGCGCCTCTGACGACGACTCCGCCAATGACGCTTTCACCACCTTCAACCGTGCGGCCACACGGCCTGGTTGGGGACGGGAGTCATGGAGAGGTGGTGGAGTCTCTTTCACACATGCACTAAAGAGAACAAGGCGCGGCCAGAAACAGATGGACCTCTACTTGTACCATTGGCCAGTGCAGAGTACTTTATTCAGCAGTGGTCGCATGTATAATTGTTTGGTCAGCTTGGTGCAAAAATCACCACCTGTTTGACTATCGCATTTCTAAACATTGGCACCCAAATATTTGTCGCGCCTCCCTGATCGTTCTTCAAGATTTGCTTCCACTTGTCTTTGGTTACTTCCAGATGAAGCGTACTGACGCGTCTCAGATAAGGCGCATTGCTCACAGCTGGGTTCTCACGGTAGTTCTCACGGTATCTAGGAAATCATTCCTCTCATCGCCATGTAGCAATTTTGCATTGGTAAATCTCGTGCTCAGCAGAAGACTGGTCCATTAGAGGATCGATTTAGTGGCTTCCTAGTTGGCTTCCTCACTTCCAACTGAATCTCTAGTTTCTCCAAGTTCAACACTCAAACAGTGCTTGGAATTCTTTTGATCCTGCATTGCAGGTTCTATGGGTGATCCAAAGTCCAGAGCAGGAGGATGACGAGTTACTCTCGCAGATGGATGAGAAGGATAATGTCTTGGAGCAGCTTGGCCACATCCCGCAGCCCGCAGTAGCAGCGATTGAGACAGCATGAGACAGTCATGTTGTGTTTCTGGCTTTGAAATGAATCTAGGAACCGAATAGTGCGAGCGTATCCTGCGTCCGTTTGCTAGTAGCAGGTTACCTAGTTAGAAGTTTGTTTAGCCCGTACTTAGTTATAGAAGTAGGCGCCTACTTAATAAATGAAGTAAGGACTACGGCTTGCACTATTCGATTCATTTGGTTCCTTTGCTTCAGGTGCTCACTTAGGCACAAAGGCAATAACAAAGACACTGCCACCAACTGACAAACGTCTAGAAGAGAAGCAACCAAGCACAAAGCATTGCACACCTCGGCAAGCTACATCCATGCCAAGCAGGTCGCTCCATGGCCGTTCATTGCCCTGAGTTGGAAACCTATCCGTGTTCAACCCACAGACATCTCCAATGGGTTTCCACCCGTTTCTGTTTCCGCTCGTTTTGCCTTTCACGTGTTTCCGTCGCTCAGGTTTCTGGCGGATTTCCATGACCGAAAGCCCAAGCACCGCGCACGGATCACTGCTTTGGCGGTGAGGCTCTTGGAGTTTGACACCTGGCGCGAGGACGGCGATCCGATGTCCGCGGCCGTGGTTCACTGGTGTTTAACTAGTGTGAGATGGCATCCGGGCTGGTGTTTGGTAGAAACATGTAGAAACAGCTTTTAAATCTTTCAGCTAAGGATGTGGAAGATGATGGAATAGGTTTTGGTGTATATTTTGTTGGGGGTGTTTTCTGTAGGTACATGTAGGCACAAAAACTAAACTGTCCCAACCGGCCACTTGCTTTTGCATTGCTGCTTTTGATCGATAATTTACCGTCTAGTTGTGGACCTCCACAATGGAGCTGGCTGGCTCTTCATCCACGTACCTTCGTCCACAGTTTCCGCAAAGTTGTATCTGCAGAAACCAGAACCCCATGGAAGATTCCAAGCTTGGACTTTCGACAAGGCATCAAAATATGTCATGGATTTCTTGCCGTTTGTTGGAGGTTCTCAACAAGACAATCCCCAGCAGCCGACACTTGACACATGGTGGCTCGACACTGCAAGTCCATGCACAGGCTTTGGAATCGAGCAGCCCATCAGTGTCTGGGAAGAAGCAGTCGAATTCTCCAGAGTCGGAATTCCGACTTTCAGGGCCGGACCGGTGAATGAACCTGACACCAAAAGAGAAGATTGGATCCCGCCTCGCTACGACACCTCAAAAGAAACCCTATGACAAGTTCAGGCTGAGAGCGAAACCCTTTGAAATCCTCAAGACTCGGCTCCTGCCCTTACTAGGAACAAAGAAGCTACTAGGAACAAAGGGCATCGCTACGAACGGAACTTTCTTCATGGTTCAGACAAGTCTGACGCATCCCAACTAATATTTGCCATATTCGGTCGTGCAAGAGAGTCTCAGTGAAAGGCTCTAATCCTCCAAGATCTTTGTGACAGTGTGGGCTCATGAGCCACCGATTTGACTATACTATATAAGAGAGTTCTCGAAGATATTCAGCAAAACAAGTAGTGAGTGACTAAGACCCTTGAAGCCATTATGGCTGGAATGCCAGAGAAAATGCACTTGTATTTGCTTGTACACAGGTCTTTCACGGTGCGGTGCCATTCCCAGGTGAGTGCTACCTTGAATGCCCTCACGGGCCGCTCCACGAAAAACGCTTCCTCGGTGGCGGTGAATTTGGAGACGGCGGTAGAGCTGGCGGTGGGAGACTCAGACGGAGCGTGGAGACCAGGCGGTGGAGAGCTGGAGCGTCGGCGGTCAAAGCTAAGCATTTAGAAGCCCTCCAAATGCTTTCTCCCAACAGGTTTACAGAGATCGAGATCACAAAAGACTCTGCTTGAAACACTGCAACAAGCTGACAGAAAGTCTGTGGAACTTAAGATGAATGGCACTGGATAAGGCACCTTGCTACTAGTAGCTTCTTGTTCCTAGTAGCGATTCCCTTTGCTCCTAGTAGCGTCCTTGCTCCTAGTAGTACGGCCAGGAGCCCCTAGTAGCGTCCATGCTCCTAGTAGCGATGCCAGGAGTCCCTAGTAGCTTCTTGTTGATATCGATGTCGTTACTAAGTGCATTCAAAAGCTCGCTCACCATTGTTCACCTGTGAGGCGTCACGTGGAGGTGTGGGAGCGCTGTACCTGCGGATGATTTCTGCGAGCCATGGAGTGCAAAGGAGATGTCCTTCACCTTTTAATTGTCACAAGTTCATGTGAATAAATGGGACTGCTTAGCTGCTTTCGTCAAGATTGTGCACAATGTTATCATGAGGAACCTCTCAGAATGTCGGCTGTCGGTCTTGTTTTGGACCGTATTAGTCGACTGCTACTAGTAGCTTATTGTTTCTAATAGCTTCTTGTTACTACTAGTAAGGCACTTGTTACTAGTAGCGATGCACCGTAAGGAGTCCCAAACACGCCACGGCTGGAACTCAGGTTTCTGCATGATGCAACCCATCTTCAAACCTCATCATCGCTCATCATCCAATAAATCTACCTGCGTTCTATGGTTCAGGGCTGCATGTGCATGAACTGCAACCCCAAATAGAAAGCCGAGGTTCAGGAACATACCGCTGTAGCCATGATACATGGCTATGTTACATTACAACATTTCAACGACCATTTGAATACCTTTTCCAGCCAAAACCATTTCAGGGCTATTTCGCAATTTCATGCCATTTCTAGATCGAAGCCAAAATCTCAACGCCCCCAAAGAATGCACAGTTACTATAAAGGGATACTGTACATATATATATATATATACATATGTGAGCAGCAAATTTAATGCCGGCACAACTTTTTGGCCAGGGTTATTGCAGGCATGAACCAAGTGGTGTGACCAGTCATGAGCCCATCAGACGTGCCAACCCGAAGAATGGAAAGAGAAAGAGACAGGAATCGTTTTACTAGCGGCGCCTTCTCAAATACATTCCAAGTTCAAGGAAGTGCTCACGCATCCTGGAGGCAGAGGTGCAGCCATTTTCACACCCAGGTGTGTCCAAACCCTGTGCGCTGCATGATGTGCTGAAAACATACAGCATGCATGCATTCCGCGTCAGCTGTGAAATGAATGTTTCCTGCTGTAGACTCGAGCCAACAAGCTAAAGTCCGGAAGCTTCTTTTTCCAGCCGCTTCTGGAAGCCACAAAAATGGCTTCCCAAATGAGCTTGCACGGTGTCTCAACATCAACACAAATCAAAATGTCCAAGAAGCGCTTCTCAGACCTAAAAGCTTGGTTTGAGGCTGGCAGCCGTTGTGAGAAGTATGAATTATATGAGGCTGCCAGCTTTGCCAGTCAAATCTAAAAAGCAAGTTTCCAGAATTCACTAAACTTGTTACCAGCCTTGTTCCTTACCTTGCGGAGCTTTAGGGGAAGCGTTGGGCTTGCCACAAAAATCTGCGGTCCATGCCCATGCCAGAGAATTGCACAACCAAAGCACTTGCAAGGACAACGTCGAGCGAAGCTTTTTCCGCAAGGGGGATGCAAGGTGTGTTTTTTTAATATATATATAATATATATATATGTATATATTCGGTCACCCAGCCTTGGAACTAAGTCCCATGATTATATCGCCTACGTTGTGCAATGAAAACAGGAATACCAAAGCTTTCTTTATATTATATAATGACTTATAATTACACGGCCTGCCCATTTTGTTCACCTTGTGTGCCTCATCAACTCAGGAAGGGCCTATCTAAGGAGTCCGCATTTCCCTTTGCCCGCGCCACGCTGCGCAACACCGGCAGCGCCCAACGCACGGAAGCCGCGCATGCTGAGGGCAATGGCGAAGTGCTTTGGGCATCTTCCGCACCCTTTGTCTTCGAGGCAAAGCGTGGGGAAACTGCGTGAGAGCTCATCCAACCCAATAGCGATAACGATGGGCCTTTAACCTAAAAGCAATCGCCTCCAACCTAATAGCGTTGGCCTCCAACCTAATATAGCGATGGCCTCCAACCTAATAGCGATGGCCTCCAACCTAATAGCAATGGCCTCCATCCTAGTAAATCTAATAGCGATCGCCTCCAACCCAATAGCAGTGGCCTCCAACCTACTAGCGATGGCCTCCAACCAGATAGCGATGGCCTCCAACCTAGTAGCGATCGCCTCCAACATAATAGGGATGGCCTCCAACCTAATAGCGATGGCCTCCAACCTAATAGCAATGGCCTCCAACCCAATAGCGATGGCCTCCAACCTACTAGCCATGGCCTCCAACCTACTAGTGATGGCTTCCAACCAAATAGCGATGGCCTCCAACCTACTAGAGACTAGCGAAGGCCTCCAACCTAATAGCGATGGCCTTCAACCTAATAGCGATGGCCTCCAACCAGATAGCGATGGCCTCCAACCTAATAGCGATGGCCTCCAACCTAATAGTGATGGCCTCCAACGTACTTGCGATGGCCTCCAACCTGTTTTGATGGGTTGTTTTTCCTTTCAGGTGCTTGGTCAAAACATGCGAAGACCACTTTAGTAAAGAGGGGTAGGTTTGTGCATAAAACCCTGCAAAACGATAAGGTCCAACTGAAAACCGATGACGTTCCTTTTAGTTGAAGAAAAATAAGGAGTTTTGACCGTCCTTCATATATCATATATAGATATATACATATGTATATATCATATATATAACATATAGCCAACATTTCCAGGAATTTCTCGGAATTGTAGCGGAACTTGCTGGAAAGTAAATTGGACCATGAATGAGTAAATCAATTAAGTTTCACAGCCTGACTTGGACCGTCTTCGAAACAAAACAGCATGTGAACCACGGAGTTCAGTTTATCCTCAACCCTGCTACCTTCAATGTTTAAGGCAGACTTTTTTGGATTACAATAATTTTGAGGATTTCAAGGCGAGAGTCAAGAAACATGTGCAAAAGAAAGCCTGAGGTGGAAATATGGGCGGTGATTGACTTCAACATGTCTTTCGTGGTCTGCCAATTTTCACTATGACTGCTTTGTTCCTTTTTAAGGATGAAGAGTTCCTTTTTCTATGTTTTTTACTGTTCATCAAAAATCATTTGCTCTTTTTGTGACATTGCGGTTCTAGGTTCATTTGGGGTAAGATGGGAATCTGGCACTGCAACCCAAGAACATCAACCCAAAAGAGTTTACCATAAGCTGGATAAGATGGCCAGGCTTTGACTTCACATCAACCAGAACTGGAAGACTACCAACTCATGAACAGAATGTTGTTGTAGCGAACAGGGCCAACGTGACAACCACAGTAAGTGGTTGAATGCGCATGATCGCGAAAATGCGCTTGCCACAGAACTGCCCCGCAAGGTGTCGTCAAGAGCACCTTTCCGGCAAGGTTGCACCCATTTTTCAGATTTGTTCGCTAACTCCAAATTCTCGATGTGTGACCATTCCATGACACAATCACACGTGTTTCCATGTGATTTGTTTCGATCGCTACTAGGGAGGCCTGAAGGCCATCGCAGAACTTATGGGCACGGAGCAGGTGCCGCACCTCGACGCGGAGCTTCACGTGGAAATCCTCAGCAGCGACGTGACCGGAGATCAGTTCTTAGGTTCGGCCACTCGAAGAGACAAAGTGCTTCAGAGTGGAAGGGTGAATGGATATGGATGATGGATGGCGCCACTTCTCTCTACATCAGTTGATTCAGAAATTCAATGCAAAAGACTTGCACATGAGGCGAGCTAACCAAAAAGAGATCCGGTGTATCTCCCTCTAGTAGCAACTGATTCAGGTCGCAAACAACCTCAATTGCACAATATTAACGTCACCTTCCCATCAAAGCCATGACTTGACGGGCCGGCCAATCTACAGTATTTATTAACAACTTCCCTTCTAGAACGGGCGTGGGCCATTCATTGAAGTGATTCCGACACATCGCTTGGTGACCTTGGTGCCAAGGCGACCTTCCGAGTGGTCGATGCCCCGAACGGAACAGGACCAAAGAGGATCTCCTCTTCATTGAGCATGGGTGGCTCGACTGTCGATGGAACCGGGTGGAGAAAAGCAAACAAAATACATATCAGAATATATCAGAATCAGACCTTAAGATACACCATGATGAATAAGTCTCCTTGCCAAGCCCGAAAATCATTGTGAAAGCACCCTCCTTTCACGACGTCCGTCGGGTGTATTGCCTGCACATGAACCTCTGTGGAGTAGTCAATAGTTGCACAAGATATTGTTCATTGATCGCATTTCAAAGCTATTGGGGTTGGAGGCCATAGCTAGTAGATTGGAGGCCGTCGCTAGTAGGTTGGAGGCCTTCGCTATTAGGTTGGAGGCCATCGCCCCAATAGCCGCGGTGCCAGAGTCTTGCGGAAAAGCGGAAAAGTGGAGGCCATCGCTATTATATAGTAACTCCAACAAATTCAAAAGTTCCCAAATGTTGACAAGGCCCCAGGCACATTCCCAGATTTTGTGGTTGGCATTACGAGATATTGGTTTGGTTCTCACACTTGGTGGCTTCACCCGCAAAGTTTGATTCAAGTTGTTTTTGTTCTGTATTCTTGCTGTCATGCGTCACGAGTTTGACGCTTTCCATTTTGGCTTTCTGGGTTGTTTGCTTACGGTGAGTGAAGACCTTTAAACTTTAGACCAAAGTGTGCGAGCACTGGCCAACACGGTTGTGCCGGTATTGACCAGATGGGCCAGCCAGGAAGGTAGAGCACAAAATGGTTGCCAGATGTTCAAGGGGTGTTCCTATCTAACCCTGCTGCCTGCTCTTCTACTGTTGTCACAACAACACATGCTCAAGCGGGGACGTTGTCAATATCGACTGTCCAAATAGTATGGTGGAACGATGGTGTTGTTTGTTTCCACTATCAAGCCCAAAGCATCCCAAGGTGGAAAGTTGAATGGCGTAAATCGTCCCATGCAACTTTCTGCCTCTATATCAGGCTCCAGGAAACTCCTGCTTTTGCCCCTTTTGGCGGTTTTTGCTCCTTTCTGCCAACACCGCAGATCTCTCAGCCTTGAGATGTGACTTCTCCAATTCTTTTCTTATCAAAGACTATTTGGGATAATCCACGGGGAGATATAGCTGATATACTGTCCTGTTTCCACGGCGATAGTGTTTGCACACAAATGACGGCACCACGCCGCGCCACCTACGTTGTTTGTCCACACAGGTGGTGAGCTTTGCTGCGAAGTGCTCTTTCGCTCTGTCTCCAGAGAGGACAGCGGAGGCCAGAACGAGACAATCAGCCAGGTTTGGCTGGGTGATACATTAAGAGATATCAAGGGTCAAGGGTGATTGAGTTTGGAGTTGAGATAACTTGGAGTTGAGTGTTTGTTTAGCGAAAACGTCTTTCTATTCGTTTTTCAACTCAAAAACATGTTGGTTTTCGACCGCGCTGCTCCATACGCCCCAGGCGCCCCAGGCGGTTACAGCGGACACCGCACTGGCTCGGTGGTCGCCGGCCTCACCGCAGCGCTTTGGGACCTGGACTCTGCCAAGGTGGAGGGAGGCGGATCTGTCGAACCGACTCATTTGCAAAAAGAATACATATAAGAAGAATGACCACACCAAATTTGAACCTAGAAATATGCAGGAACAAAACAAGGTAGGTAGGGCCCCTTACCTTCCTTGTTTTCCCGAATGCGTAGCGAAGGGTTCTCGTTTAACTCTGGGGGTCTGAGGGTAGAGCCTTGTTCGCGACCCGTTGTTTCTACGTCCGCAACCGTCCGCAACCGTTCGCAGTAGAGCGCTAAGGCGCTGCCATTGGGGGAAGCTTTTGGAGAGGGTTTCGGATGAAAACGTTACGTGTCAGATTCGTGTGAAATAGCGAGGAATCGTGTGGAAATGTAAGATGTTGAAGTGTGCTGGATGATTTCACTGTGCAGGCGCAACGTTTTGTGAGATCCGCAGTTTGCTGTGCAGTTCCATTGGGATTAGCGTTTGGAGAGTCGTGTTTTTGGGGTGTTGGATGTGACCGTGCCATTGGGATTTGCGTTTCAGGGTGTGGCATCGAAGCTTTGGTTTTGTGACAAGTCTCAGCTGAAATGATGGTGGACGGGAGTGTGCTCAGAACGGGTCGAAATCATTCCAAACGTGTGGTGTGGTGCAAGTTTGGTGAAGCTCACATGAGATGATACTGTCACATTTCGTGGCAGGCGCAGTACTTTGTGCGGGTTTTGAGGCGTGGAAGTGCGATTCTCGTGGCAGGCGCAGGGAATCGTGAGGTTGCGAGGTGTGACGGAGGTGACATTTCGTGGCAAGCGCAGTGCTTTGTGCGCGTTAGACGTGCGGACGCGGAAAGATTCGTGGCAGACGCAGGGAATCGTGAGGTTGTGAGTTGTGGTAGAGGTGAATGTCGCTGTCACATTGGGATTGGCGTGTGAGCGGGTGTTGTTTGGAGGGGCTGGCATCGCGAAACTGCTTGGCAGGGCTGCGTGATGTGTGTGCTCCGATGGGTGTTTCCGCTTGACTTTTGGAGGAAGTCTCGTGCGAAACGCTCGTTTTGCAGACTTTGACATGTGACTTTTGGAGGAAGTCTCGTACGAAACGCTCGTTTTGGAGACTTGACGTGTGATTTTTGGAGGAAGTCTCGTACGAAACGCTCGTTTTGGAGACTTGTGATATTTGGAGGAAGTCTCGTACGAAACGCCCGTTTTGGAGACTTGACGTGTGACTTTTGGAGGAAGTCTCGTACGAAACGCTCGTCTTGCAGCCTCGAAGCGTGTGTCCTACAAGACTGTCCCAGATAGAGTGTCCCACAAGAGTGTCCCGTATGAGTGTCCCACAAGAGTGCCCCACAAGAGTGTCCTGCAACCGTGTCCCACAAGAGTGTCTCACAGTGCCCCACAAGTGTGTCCGGCAAGAGTGTCTCGCAAGAGTGTCCCACAAGAGTGTCCTACAAGAGTGTCCTACAAGAGTGTCCCACAAGAGTGTCCCACAAGAGTGTCCGGCAAGTGACCCACAAGAGTGTCCTACAAGAGTGTCTCACAAGAGTGTCCCACAACAGTGTCCGACAAGAGTGTCCCATAAGAGTGACCCACAAGAGTGTTCTATAAGAGTGTCCCACAAGAGTGTCCTACAAGAGTGTCCCGTAAGAGTGTCCCCCAAGAGTGTCCTGTAAGAGTGTTCCACAAGAGTTTCACACAAGAGTGAGCCACAAGAGTGTCCTACAAGAGTGTCCTGCAAGAGTGTCCCACAAGAGTGTCCCACAAGAGTGTCCTATAAGAGTGTCCCACAAGAGTGTCCTACAAGAGTGTCCCACAGGAGTTTCCTACAAGAGTGTCCTACAAGAGTGTCTCACAAGAGTGTCCACACAAGAATGTCCGACAAGAGTGTCCCATAAGAGTGACCCACAAAAGTGTCCTATAAGAGTGTCCCACAAGAAGTGTTCTACAAGAGTGTCGTGTAAGAGTGACTTAAGAGTGTCCCACAAGAGTGTCCTACAAGAGTGTCCCGGAAGAGTGTCCTACAAGAGTTTCCCAAAACAGTGCCCCGCAAGAGCTTCCTACAAGAGTGACCCACAAGAGCGTCCTACAAGTTTCCCACAAGAGTGTCCTACAAGAGTGTCCCACAAGAGTGTCCTGTAAGAGTGCTCCACAAGAGTGTCCTACAAGAGTGACCCACAAGAGTTTCCTACAAGAGTGTCCCACAAGAGTGTCCCGCAAGAGTGTCCCAGAAGAGTGTCCCACAAGAGTGTCCTACAAGAGTGTCATTTGGGCATATGGAACGTGTTTGCACTCGGGTTCGTGGGTTCCATCTTGTTTCTCTCTTTGCCTGGGCCATTGTGTGGGTCGTTGGAGGAACCAAGTCGTGACGTGTGATGTGCGAGGCCATGGGTTTGGTTGTCAACCTTTGTCAGTTGGATTGACAACGATGCAGAGGTTTGGCTGGTTCAGTGTGGAAGATGCATGAAGACGCAGTGATGTGTTATCCAGATGTGTTTCTTGATTTCAGTAGATGAGTGTAAGATGCTTGTGGTTGGAACAATTGCTTGACCGCAATTTTAGTGAGCCGCAATTCTGCAGTAATGATGCAACCGTTTTTTGTGTTGGGAACTCATTTCTTGAAAGGCTTACCCCAAACGTCAACATCAGTTGTTTAGCAACAATAAACAATGCCTTCTCCTTTCGTGACACACTTTGTGGACTGTACAGCATGATCACAGACAAACAAGCACGGACACGGCAGAGCTCACTGGGGAGTTTGTTGCATTTATCAAACGTGTTCACCAGCTACAAGTGAAGGGAATCCTTGTATGGGTAGGTTGTCACAAGGGGAGCAGTGCCTGAGGGGATCTTCAGTGGACGCCTTGTGGCTTTCCGAAATGATGCAGCGAGCCGGCAGGTTGGATCATTTCGGGCGCCAAGGGCGAGCAACACAGCGGACTGGTGTGCCCGGCAGGGCATCCTATCGATAAGCGCAAGGAGAATGAACACCGACCGGCCAAGGTTAGATAACTTTGGGTGGGTGTGAATGCTGGTGGGTTTGGGGAAAAAGAAACTCTTTGATCAAGTCTTTGGATGTATATAGATTTATTTGGTTGATCTATTTCATTGAGTGTTTGGAGGGCTGAAGGGGTCTTGATTCTTGCTGTTCATCGATTTTGACTGCGGTCGATTTAGGGCGGCTGCGTTTGTGTCCACTTTAGTGGAAGAGTCACATTCCACGTTGTGGTCGAGGTATCTTTCGGTTTGGTTGAAGTCGGGTTATTCAATTATGATCCAGTTTTGGGTTGCTTGGATATGTCAGCACAATGTCCTCATGATGTTTGTTTGCTTTTGATCTGTCATTGTTGATTGTTGTCCATGCAGCTCTGTAGTCGGCGATCCCTCTTAGTTTGGGCTGGATGTGCAGATTTGGGTAGACAGCTTCATCCGTGGAAACATTGCAAGCTCCTCTTGACACCGGCAGGACTTTGACAAACACAATCCGTCCTAATAATGCATTTCTAATCTAAAGCCACTTTTTCTAAGCTGCCCTTGGAGTGTCGGTTTGGTCGGAAATCCTCATCCGATTGCAAAAGGGGTCAGTTTTGCTCTACGGGTTCACAATGGTTCCCATTTTTGGTTTTGTTTCTTATGATACTTGACGTGTGCAGTAAGCATCATTACTTTTGGCGGAGAAGCACCTACTAGTGATGGCCTCCAACCAGTAGCGATGGCCTCCCACCTCGAAGTCATGGCCTCCAAGTTCTACAATTGGAAAGTTGCCAGAGCGGGATCTGCCGAGAAGCCTCTTCGGAGAACATGTTGCTTGAAGGGGACCATTATGAAGCCAATCACAACCTGTTGAGCTTTGTTTTGGATCCCAGTGTTCGGTCTAGTAGTGTGTAATGCTGCTGGCGTGAATTTTTTGTGAGGTGTCAATTCTTCTTGGAGGGCATTCTCACTTGACCATGCTGATCTGAAACAACAAACATCATGAAACATGTCACTTTGTTCACCTGACGCTAACCTTTGAAGCTTTCTGTGTGTTTTTTTTTGCGCGTGTTATCTTTCTATTGGTTTGGAAAGAACAAGAACATCCTTCAAGAGGTTGGAGGCGGTGGAGGCGGAGGCCGCTTCAGGAGGGCATGTCGTGGCGGCAGAGTTTGCTGCACGGCGACCTGCGGCGCTGCGACCTGTGCGGCCGAAGCATCCAACGCCAGGACACGCGCTGGCGATGCTTCCACCATTGTGGCAAGGCAGCATTGGGTCTTTCAGTCGGCATGGAGTTAGGAACAAAGGGCATCGCTACTAGGAACAAGTGCCTTACTAACATTATTAGAATAGAATTTAAGCTAAAAGGTCCTCTCTACCATGACTCAAATTGTTACTACTAGTAAGGCCCTTGCTCCTAGTAGCGATGCACTTGTTACTAGTAGCTTCAATTGTTCGATGTCACACCAAAGCTCCCAATTCTCCAAGTGCTTCATGTGTTTCCGTTCTTGTTTCGAGCGCTTTCCCAGGTGACTTCAATGTTTGTGAGCGCTGCTATGCGGAGAAATCCTGAAGGGACAAAAAGGGCTCACTGGCCTGCTGCGAATGCAATTTGTGGGTCAAGGTCTCGCAATCATTTTCTCGGCAAGCTATAGAGGACGCTACTAGGAGCAAAGGGCATCGCTACTAGGAGCAAGGACGCTACTAGGGGCTCCTGGCCGTACTACTAGGAGCAAGAACGCTATAGAGATGGGTGTCAAAAGCGGTGAAGAGGTTCATTGGCTCTACCAAATATAGTTCTTTGCTGTTGGAGATATGCTCATGAGTTCTCTCAGCAGACACCGGTCTTGTCCTTTGAAGTTCGGCTAGTGATGCTAGACAGATCAGACCCTGCTTCAACAGACCTTAGCTTTAACTAATCGGGGAACCCAGCGGGAGGAATATTATGGCTGGAGCCAAAAAACACCGTCTCGCAGGAAGAGAGTTGCTAGGGCTAAGGTCAATGCCACACGTGCCGGGCAGGTGTGGAGATGAGTTTCAGGAGAATCCAAACCTGGAAGATTGGTGTCGGGTTCTATAAAAACATGGATTTGCCAATCCACAGATGTTCATTTGGGGTCAATTGTCTCAAAGGACCGCAGAATCAATTTTGTGAATGATTGATGTCGGGTTTGTGTCCACTTGGTCCATTTCCCTCTTTAAGGTGTTATGTGGGTGGTTTTCGACGGGCACATCCACATTCGCGTCTTTCGGCGGTTGGCTATGTTTGTGACTGACAGTGTGGCGACTTGTGACGATCAGCTGCTCATGAAAACAGGGCCATCCAGACCTGGTCGGAGCTATCAGAGCTACCTCGTTGGAGTTCCTGTACGTTTTGGATCCTTTTGGGGCAAAGCATGGCTAAGCCTCTGTATTCAGGGGCAGAAAATATACGAACATACATCCCGGTTAAACATGGGGCCTTTGAACCAACCCGTACAGCTTTGAAGACCTGCTTGAAAAGAATGATCAAACTTGCCTGGAGGAGGCCATTGCTATTAGGTTGGAGGCCATCGCTCTTGGATGCTCTTAGGTTGGAGGCCAGTGCCCTTAGGTTAGTCTAATAGCATTGGCAATAGCTGCAAGGACGCTACTAGGGGCTCCTAGCGTACTACTAGGAGCAAGTAGGTACTAGGAGCAAGGATGCTACTAGGGGTTCCTGGCATCGCTACGAACGGAGCAAGGACGCTAGGGACTTCCGCCTCAAGATGTTCGAAGCCTCCACGACCGACGGATTGCTCGGTTTGCATGTCCAGGAGATGGGCCAGCTCCGTGGACAGGTCTGACAGTGAGGCATTGAGAGGGCATGGGAGAGCGTGTTTATGCAGAAAACTAGGGAGAAGTAAGGTAAGATAAGGTACTGTAAGTCCATATGGGAAAACAGGACCGACAGCTGCGACAAGACAGCCCCTTTGCAGTTGCTTTGTTGTAGCAAGTTCTGATAGAGCATCCTTCTGGTTGAAGTCATAACGGGGCGCAATTCCAAATTAGACGAGGTTTTTCTAGAGGTCGAACAAATACAAACAAAGGATACTGCACGGCGCTGCATTGTAGCTGCATGCAAGACTCACAGTGGCCCCAGAAAGATCCAGAAAGCTCAAGTTGAAGGCAGTTTGTGTTCGAGAAGGCTACCGCACTTGGACCAAACAGTGCATGAGCTCCTCTTGGGAGGGTGATTTGGGAGGAAGGTCTTCCGATCTGACAGCCAAAAACAAGATGAAACATATAGAGAAAGGCACCAAGACATGGTCGCTACTAGGGTGGAGGCCATCGCTACTAGGGTGGAGGCCATTGCTAGTAGGTTGCCATCGCTACTAGGGTGGAGGCCATTGCTTTTAGGTTGGTGGGAGACCGGCTCATTTTGCCGATTTCTCTTTTTTTTTCTCTTCTCCTATCCCAAGACCATCTGGGCACCGCAGCTCCGAACAGTTCATTCAAGCAACCTGTTCGGAAGAGTAGTGAGGGCGATAATCAAACATCGCCACATGTTTGAGGTACAAAAAAGACCCGTGTGGCCTTTGTGCATGCATTATTTTTGCCAGCGTGTGAGAAATTGCAGAAATCATGAGACTCATTGAGCCGCAAGAATGACTCCTAATCCATCATAATAGTAGCGTCCTTGCTCCTAGTAGGAAGGCCAGGAGCCCCTAGTAGCGTCCTTGCTCCTAGTAGCGATGCCAGGAGCCCCTAGTAGCGTCCTAAATCCTAAATCCATCATAATCCTTAATCTTTCATCTCATGGAATTTCTTGACAAACCAGATCCCAAAGCAGACTAAGACGCTTCTTCTCACTGTGCTTGCCGCTTGCCTGGCTTTCTGGGCTTGGCTCTATGTCGATGGTTGTTGCAAGCCGTCGTCAGGACACTGGAAGGGATTCGACCTGTTTTATGCACGCTGGTTTGTTTGGAAAGAGGCCGTCCATGTAGCATGTGACAGCATGTGTAACTCCCCTTCAAGGCTCACTGATCCCTATGAATCAAGCTCCAAAATGTGGACTCGGAAACAGATGATGTCAGGGTCCTTGGTAACCTAATCCCATTCAGTGACCCACAAGCCTTCTCAACTCCAAAAAATGCTGTCAGACCTTTATCATAGTCCTGTCAGCTCGCCTACATTTGCCTCTAGGACTTACCAAGAACATCAAATCGCCACATCGATCTGCATCGCTTTGCGCACGAGGATCCGCCTCTGGATCGTCCACTGGGCAAGGTGCCTCCAGGCTACTTGCGCTCCCTTTGCCCCGCCTCCACCTGTCCCATCCTCGGATCATGGGTTGGTACCAAAGGGCGGAAGGCAGACCGGAAAGTGAACACAAAAAAGGGAAAACGCAGAAGAAAGAAAAACGAGTACTGTATACCGCTGTATACTTGTAGGTGGTTGGAAATTCCGCCGACGTTTGTACTGTATAGTCGGCAGCCGCAATACCGCCTGAGACGTCCGTGGTGGCTGACTAAGTGGTCCGTCTTTCTTCGTGATGCTGGCATTGATACTTTTCAATGTGAACCATCGTGGACCTCGGATTTCCAGCTAGTGAAACATGAAAGAACTGAACCGGTTCCGCTGCGCAGTTCTACTTAATAACTTGCTCCCTATTTAAATTTGATAATCCAAGCACCCACACATAGTCCACCAACGTTCCCGCTTTGGTCCACAGCATTAGGTCCATTTGGAACCTATCTGCAGGGGGTAAGCAATTCTCTGGGTGAAGCGTGGAAAGAGACGAAGTTCAAATCGGAAGAGCTGAGGCTTGACGAAGTTGGAATCGGGTGTTTTCGCCTCCAACCGAATAGCAATGGCCTCCAACCTAGAGTTCAATTCGGGTGTATTTCTTCTTTCCGTGTAGTGTGACTGTTCATGACCACCAATGCTCAAGCTCACCAAGGCTCCTCGTTTCAATCGACCAGCAGTGCAAGCCGCGGGAGGGAGCACACCGACCGCACGCCCCTTAAAGGCCAGCGACTCGGAATCATCCGAGTTGTCGTGTTGGCGGCAGTGGAAGTTTGCACTCTTTTTGTGTCATCATAACATAACACCAAACATGTCAGACAGATTAGATTCAAGAAAAACAAGGGTCATGTCCTAGATTTGACAACTAATTCTGGCCGAATCTCACGATTTTAAGGGTTGGATTGAGTCGTTTCCTCTTGGGTCTTAGGACTTGATTGTTGTACAATACAACATGCTCTCCAAATTGACACGGCAACCCACGGAGACACTTGGAGATGATCTTCCTCTACCAACTTGGAGCAGGAGTGTTCGGGTGAAACATGCACCTTCACCGTGTTTTTGAATTCATGTTGCCGCGTCATGTTGCTTATGTCGTCTCCTTTGGCCAGGTGTGGCTGGATCTGGCCGCGATGCCCGCGATCTGCGCTTGAGCACCATCCAGGAGCGCCGAGAGGCCGAGGATGACCATCGCTTGTGGCATCGCTTGTGGGGTTAGCAATAATTAGAATCTGAGAGTATTCGCCGTTTGTTCCGCCTCGGTTCAATCGAATTTCCGTCTGTTTCAAGTCTTCCATCAACTGTCTCGTTCCTTTCCATCAACTGTTTGCTCGGTGATTCATTTCAACCGTATTTAGCGACGTAGAGAATACTTGAAAGAAACCGCATGTTGTTTTTTTCCAGAACGTCGTGAACCCGCGAAGTAACTAGGGGTAAGCAATAAAACTGCTGTATGCATCCAAACAATGTCAACACGTAGAAACACGGAAAACCAGATCCAGACAAACACCGATATCAATTGCCGGAAATGTGACCATTACCTATTTAGTGAAAGTCGTATGCTCATATATTATGTTGCATTACGTGATATCATGCCTGGCGGCCGTCTTCAGCAGTTCTCCATCGCTTGGACTTATGTTGTTTTCCTCTTTTCTGGTACCCATGTCCGTGCACAAGCGTGTTGTCTACAGTTCTTCGGATGCTGAGGAGCTATGGTGGAACTAAATACCGGCACGCCGTTTTCTGCGCATCTGTGTTTGCACCCACATCCCTCAATTTTCGGAAGCGTACATATGATTGCCCGACCCCCATATTCATGTTACGGTCAGCATCCAGGACTTTACAACGATTTCCCCGAAACCTCTTTCGAAAGACGCGGTGCAGGTCTGCAGGTTCAGGTTAAGTATCGTGATAGGTTTTTTTCCGAACGGATTTTTGTGGCTTTGTGGCGTGAGCATGCGTGAGCCGGGCTTACCATCGCTTTGATTTTTGAACCAACGATTTTGAGGATCACGTCGGGCCGCCCAACAATGAACTGTACAGATGTGCACCTGGCATCGCTACTAGGAGCAAGAACGCTACTAGGAGCAAAGGGCATCGCTACTAGTGGCAAGGAAGCTACTAGGGGCTCCTGGCATCGCTACTAGGAGCAAGGACGTTACTAGTATCTTGGATTGTACAATGGCTCGGCTTGTAGCATCGGCAGCAGTTCGCTTGCAGGCGGCCAGTCGCCTGCTAGGCCGATGGGCAGCGGTTTCTCCACTGCTTAATAGGGTAGGGAGACTCCCCATGCAAAGAAAAACGCGTGTGTTCAAATTGTT